CCAGCAATTGCACTCCTGGGTATTTACCCCAAAGACACAGATGTAGGGAAAAGAAGGGCCATATGCATCCCAATGTTCATAGCAGCAATGTCCGCAATAGCCAAACTGTGGAAAGAGCCGAGATGCCCTTCAACAGATGAATGGATAAAGAAGATGTGGTCCATATATACAATGGAATATTACTCAGCCATCAGAAAGGATGAATACCCAACTTTTACATCAACATGGATGGGACTGGAGGAGATTATGTTAAGTGAGACAAGTCAAGCAGAGAAAGTCAAGTATCATATGGTTTCACTTATTTGTGGAACATAAGGAATAACATGGAGGACATTAGGAGAAGGAAGGGAAAAATGGGGGGGGAGGAATTGGAGGGAGAGATGAACCATGAGAGACTATGGACTCTGAGAAACAAACAGGGTTTTAGAGGGGAGGGGTGTGGGGGGATGGGTTAGCCCGGTGATGGGTATTAAGGAGGGCATGTACTGCATGGAGCACTGGGTGTTATACGAAAACAATGGATCGTGGACCACCACATCAAAAATCAATGATGTATAGTATGGTGACTAACATAACACAATAAAATTTAAAAAATAATAATAAAAATTTAAAAAAAGGAATCAGGGAAATGCAGATTAAGGCCACAGCGAGATATCATATTATACCCCAAAAGTAAGTGTACCAGGTGTTTGTGAGACTGTGACACAATAGAAATTTTTATACACCGTAAGAGTAAAACTTAGTAAAATCACTTTTGAAAAAGCAGTTTACTTGAGAGACTATGGACTCAGAGAAACAAACTGAGGGTTCTAGAGGGGAGGGTGGTGGGAGGATGGGTTAGCCTGGTGATGGGTATTAAAGAGGACATGTTCTGCATGGAGCACTGGGTGTTATGCACAAACAATGAATCATGGAACACTACATCAAAAACTAATGATGAAATGAATGCTGATTAACATAATAAAAAATTTTTTAAAAAGCAGTTTATTTTATAAAGCTGAATAGAACCCATAGTTTTTGGCCCAGTAATTAACTTCTATGGAGTTAGCCTGGAGCAGGGTTTCTCAGCCTCAGCACCATTGAGATGTTGGGCCTGACAATTCTTGGTTGAGGGGCTCTCCTGTGCATTGTAGGATGATTAGCAGCATCCCAGGCCTCTACCCACTAGATACTGGTAGCACCCTCTTCCCAGTGTGCCAACCAAAACAAATCTCCAGACATTGCCAAGTGTCCCTGGGGGAGGCACAATCACCCCATCTGAGAACCGCCACCCTGGAGGAACTCTGGCTTCCATGCACCAGGGGACATGCACAAGAATGTTCATTTCAATCTGTGACAGCTAGACTGGAAATGACACGATCACCCATTAACAAGAGATGAATAAATTCATTATGTGTAATCATGCAATAGAATATTACGGTCATGAAAACTTTATCTAGAGCACCACACAAGAAAGTGGATGAATCTTGGAAACACAATCTTGAGTGGAAAAAAAAATCAAGTCTTGTAAGATTCCATACAGCACGTCACGATTTTAACAAAGCACAAAAACTATCAGAAGTATTTTCAAGGATGCCTACATAATTAATAGAGCCTTCTTCTTTTTTTTTCTTTTTAAGCAATGATAAGAATACCAAGAAACGATAAAGAAAAAACTCAGGATGTCTACATTGGGGGAGGAGATGGGTGCAGTGAACACAGGTAGGAGCACTGGTATCAATAACGTTCTAGGATTAACTTGTATGGTGGGTTATCAAATTTATATCATCCACATTTCGGAAAGAAAAGAAAGGAAAACATAGTCTAGATACCCTAACTATCATGGTATTTTTTTTCTTTTAATGAAAAGAATGTGTAGCATATAGGAAGGGGAGTTTAAATAATTTAAAAAGAATTTAAAGTAATTACAGGCATACCTCATTTTATCGTGCTTTGCTTTATTGCACTTCGTGGATACTGCAGTTTTTACAAATTGAAGATTTGTAGCAACTCTGCATGGATCAGGTCTATCTGCACCATTTTCCCAACAGCATTTGCTCACTTCATGTCTCTGTGTCACCTTTTGGTAATTCTTGCAATATTTCAAATGTTTTCATTATTATAATATTTGTTATGGTGACCTGTGATCAGCAACTATTACTCAGTGCAAGTTCAAATGATGGTTAGCATTTTTTAGCAATAAGGTATTTTTTAATTAAGGTACGTACATTGTTTTCTTAGACATAATGCTATTGCACACTTAATAGACTACAGTATAGTGTAAACAGAACTTTCATATTCACTGAGAAACCAAAGAATTCATTTGACTCACTGTATTGCAATATTTGCTTTATTGCAGTGGTCTGGAATGGAACCTGCAATATCTTAGAGGTATGCCTGTCCTTTCAATTTCCCAAAATTGAATTTCAAGTGGTTTCATCCCATCAGTCAGAGAAAACCATCAAGATTTCCAAGTATCACACCAAAACCTAGCCCTCACTCCGAGCCTACCACGTTTTCATCTTTCCTCAGAGAACTTCATGTTCTTCTGAACTATGCTAAGTATCCTTGCCATATGTCCAGTAGCACTCCAAGGGTCACTTTCAGAGCTATGAATCATATTTTATTACACTTACTTATTTCATAAGAGTCTGCCCCCACTAGGCACCCCCTGCAAGGGCTGGGACCACCTGCGTCTTCTTCACATTTGAATGCCCAGCCTCTGGCAAAATGCCTGGCACATAGCAGCCCCTCAGCAAAGAACTCTGACATCAGAAAGCAGTGTTTGTTAATGACTCCCTTGAGGACCACATGAATCAGAATCCCTTAAACTGCTTATATATACATACTTTATATATATGTATATATATTTTAAAAATATATAATATATAATTTAAAAGTTATATTTTATATTATTTATTTATATGTCATATATTTATATTATAAAATATGTATATTTTAAAGCATATTTCTGATAACTCAATACCTCCTGGATCAGAATCTCTGGGGTGGGCCCAGGAATCTATTTTGTATGTTTTAAGACACTCAGATAATTCCTGAATACTCTGAAGTTTTACAAACTTTGCTAAAAAGGTAGGGCTTTCCTGAAGCTTTCTATTATTCTATTTAAGAGTAGATATCTACAGATACAACTACATTCAAGTTAAAAGAATAATGTGGTAAGTAGCTTCTCTTTCTACAAATGAGAAGGGGAAAAAAGCCTTGAGGATTTAGCTGAAGTCATTCTCATACCTGCACAGGTTTTTTTCAGCAATGCTTCATTGGAAAAAATTGCTATTTAGAAGTTTGTTGTGTCGTCAGCTCAAAGCATTTTCTATGTGAGTCACTTAGCTCCTTCAACATATTTAAAATCACAATGCTTCTTTCCTTTTCCCTTCTGTCATTTTTATTCTTTGCCCCAACCAGCCTTGGTAATGACGTAGCAACCTTCACATGTGTGGCTTGCCCCTTCATGTAATTCCCTGACTCTTCTTCCTTTCACCAGAAACGATCCCCTGTGATTGCTGTGCTGTGACTCTGTGTCCCTCGACATTGGCCCTTTCAGTATTCAGGGCTTCCTTCGCTCATCTCCAAGAGAAGTCTCAAAATAATTTTCTAAACAACAGCCTGAGGAAGCCAGGGATTTCTGCTAACTGCTCTGTTCTGACCCACGCCCCAGTCTCCAGTCTTCACCTCTCACTAGCTGTTCTGCAAGTCCCCACACTGTTTGCGGCGGAGACGTGGCATAAAGGCAGGACAATGCCAGTTTCCATCCATCATGAAAATAATGCAAAGGTCATACCCCTCTGCAGCGACACTGTGTAGAGAAGGCAGCATACTGTGTCTTTCTATTCAATTTCTTATTTCTGTCTCTTTCTAATAATTTTCCCTCTATGATCCTCAACTCATTTTACCACGTGTCCATTCTTTCCATACACTGCTACCTTCCCTTTTTTTTTTCCTTTCTTTTTGGTTCACATCCAGAATAAACGCACTTCTTTCTTGCAAAGGCATTTTAAGCTCTCCTCATCCCTTTTCAAGGATTTTACTCAAAATTGTTTCACTGATTTAAATCCATCCATTCAATAAATGGTCATTGATTAAAGTTCCGTATTATTAAGCACTATACTAGGAAAGAGAATAGAGATGAATAAAATATAATTCCAGACTTCAAAAACTCAAAATCAAGCAGAAGGTAAAAAAAAAAAAAAGGAGTATAGAAATAAATGCAATAAATGGTTTCGGTACTATGATATAAGTTGTGATATGTAGCTGCATTCTAGCAGTAAAAAACACAGGTTCTAGAGACAAACACCTAAGTTTGAATTGAATGGCTCTACAGGAGGGAGGGAAGAAGGTATTAATGAAGTAGAATTGACAGGGCTTGGTTAATAGGTGTGGAGGCGGTAGGAGGCAGAGAGGAAAATGAGGAATCAAACATGATTCTCAAGTTGCTGGTTTGCTGAAGAGTCTGCGGTGGGGGACCCAGGAGAAACACATCTGCAGGAAACATGATATATGCAATTTTGAACACTGCCTAGTAGGTCTGGAAATTTTGGGTGCAGACACACACACAATAAAGTTTTTGTGTTCTTGGGAAATTTCCTTCATAGTAACATAGCGGTGAGCTTTTTAAGTCATACAATAAACCTAATTTGACATAACTTCATCTAATTACATAATTTCTTAAAAGAAAATTATTTTCAGTAGCTCAGTCAGTTAAGCATCCAACTCTTAATTTCAGCTCAGTCATGATCTCAGGTTTTTTTCAGGTTGAGATGGAGCCCCGTGTCAGGCTCTGCACTCAACAGGGAGTCTGCTTGAGATTCTCTCCCCCTCCCCCTCCTCCCGCTGTCTCTGCCTAAAATAAATAAATAAATAAAATCTTAAATTAAGAAAAAGAAAATTATTTTCTATCTCAACTTTACAAGACCTGTATATTTATCTTTTTATTTCACCTGCCTTTTATGCTACTCTTAATAAATTCAAAACAGACTTCTTACCAAGAAAGCACATCTTACCTGGACCTGTCCCATCGTGACTAATCAGAACTTTCTTCAGTTTTCCAAGAGACACTGCCTCGATGGAAAAAATATCAACCTGTATGATAACAAAAATAAACTGAATGACCATTAGGATATTTCCTTTTTCTAGGAAAAAAATAGCATTATGAGTACTATATCAGTTCATCACTATATTGCTATGTATTGCTATATTATTATTATTACTACTATACTATAAAAAATTCCCCTACTATTTTATATGCAGTCCTACACTATGCCTTGTGAGACAAATATAAGCAAGTAACAGAATTTTTGCCCTCCTTAATCATACGGTCTAAATAAATCTGAAAAAGATTTTCAAAATGTAATCATAACATTTAAGTCTACCATTAGTAGTGATAATAATAGTTGATATCACCCTCACTATACACAAACTCTTCTAAGTGTTTTTCATATATTTAATCCTCAGAACGACCCAAGAAGTAATTACTACTCATTGTCATATTTTACAGTTGAAGAGATGGAGACATACAGAGTTCAATTACTCACTTCCAAGGTCAACATCTAGTGAGGGACCAAGCCAGGACTCAGCCCCCAGCAGTCTGCCTCCAGAATGTACGCTCTCCACCACTGGTGTCTGCCTCTCAGTAGATTTTGTTTCTAAGTCAACTATGCATTGCAATGGCTACAGGTGCATGCATATACAAATGAAGTTTTAAAATAAACTATTAACTAGATATGTAGTCTACAAATGAAAATACACAACACATTCAATGCACACATCCATGCAAATGATACATTAACAGCACCCTAAGACCCCTCCATGGCCCACTGCAGTCATAATCTCCCCCAGTTGTAGCCATTATCCTTTTAATTAGTTTTGCCAGGTCTAGGACCATAAACAGAATCATACAGTATGTTCTTTCTGCTTTTTACTCAACTTTTGTGGAATTTACCCATGTTGCTTTATTTAACAATGCTTTGTTCATTTTCATTACTGAATATTATTCCACATTATTTATCCATTCTGCTACTTATGAACAATAATTGTTTCTGGGTTTGGGGTATTACAAATAACACTGCTCAGAACATTCTTGACATGGCTTTTTGTGTATATTTGTGTACGTTTCTGATGGGGAACTACTGGGTTATAGAGCATTAGTAGATAGTCTACTTTTCCAAAATGCTTATAGCACTGCACACTGTGCATGCTCAGTGTGTGAGAGATCAAGGTGCTCCACAGGTACTCAATACTTGGTATTGTCATTCTTTTCAAGTTTAAGCCATCCGATTATGCACAGTGACCCTTGATTATGGTTTCCATTGTATTTTCCTGATTACTAACAAAGTTGTGTACACTTCTCATGTTGATTGGCTATTTAGATATCTTCTTTTTCAGAAGGACCATATTCAAGTGTCATGCCATGTTTTCAATGGGGTTACTGTTTTCTTGTTGATCTGTTGGTGTATAAAGTTTAGAAACATTCCTTTGCCAGGATATATTTTACAATATCTTTCCTACTTTGTGATTTGCCTTTTTTACTCTCTTCATGGTGCCCTAAGGAAGAGAAGTCTTTATTAAAATGGTGTAAATTTATCTTTTCTCCTTTATGCTTAGTGCTTTCTTTGTTTTGTCTTTAAAATCTTAGTCTATATGCATGCTCATAGCAGCATTATTCACAATGCTGCTGTAGTCAAAATGTGGAAGCAATCCAATTGTGTTCATACTAATGAATGGATAAACGAAATCTTGTCTATACACATAATGGAATATTATTCACCCTTTAAAAAAAAAGGAAATTCTGACACATGCTACAACACATATGAACCTTGAAGACATTGTGCTGAGTAAAACAAGCCAGTCTCGAAAAGACAAATATCTTTGATTCCACTTAGATGAGTTTCATAAACGAATCAAAGTCACAGAGACAGAAAGTAGAATGGTGGTTGCCAGGGGCTGGGTTGGGGGAAAGAGAGGAGAATAAGATTTATTTTTTAATGGGTACAGTTTCGGTTCTGCAAGATAAAACGTTCTGGAGCTGGATGGTGGTGATCTTTGCACAACAATGCAAATGAATGTGCTCAATGCCCCTGAATTGTACACTTAAAAATTGTTAAAGTGGTAATGTTCATATTATGCGTATTTTACCACCATTAAAAGATTCTTAAAATCCTAACCTACCCCCAAGATCACAAAAGTTTTTCTTTTGTAGTCTCTTCTAAATACTTGATTGTTTTACCTTTCCGATTTAGACCTAAACTTATATGAAATTGATTTGGGGGTTCAGTGTAAAATTGGGCTCATAATTTCTTGGATATCATAATTGATATCCAATTTGCTGCCTTTCCCTGATGCTGCACATCAAGACATGGGGATCTTTTTCTGGCTCTATTCGGCTTCTTTGTTCTATTTGTCTTGCCTTGTACCAATTAATGCTGTCTTAATTACTTTAACTTTACAATAAATCTCAATATCTGGTAGTGTGAGCCCTCCAGCTTTGTTTTTCTCTTAATAACCTTCCTGGTTATTTGGGGTGTATTTGACTTGTTGCCCTTCCACATAAATTTTAGAATTAGATTGCCAATTTCCATAAAAAAAATTTATGGGATTTTAATTGCTATTGCATTGAAACTGCAGATAAGGAGAAAAGTGAGCACTTTAAAATATTCACTCTTCCAATCCAGGAACATAGTGTATCTCTATTAATTTGTGACTTTTTAAAAATTTCCCAATAATATTTTGTCATTTTCCATGTAGAGGTCTTGCCTTGGCCATCTGGGTGCCTGCTGCCCATTGGGCCTGGGGATGGAGGGAGTCTCGGGACAGAGCTGCGTGTGCACTGCCCAGGACTGTGTTCCTTCCTGCTCAACTGCTTTAGCCACCACTGTTATTGGTGCCCCGTCTGTCAGCTGAGGTCCTGAAGGTCCTTGCTGTCAACAGAGGTGACCTCTAGAATGCTACTTACCTTGGCTCCTCCTCTTTCCTTATTTCCTCTACATTCATGCCTTCACGGTGCTTCCTAGGATCACCCCCCTCCCCATTAACCACCCAGAGGACCTGCCCCAGGCTCTGCTCTGGAAGAACTCATATGAAGGTCCCACTTTGCAAGTGGAAGTTTTTACTGCTGGGTCCAGACTGAATCCTAGCCCTCTGAGAGCTTCTAAATCTCCGCACCACATCTGGGGCTCTCCATGGCCACTCTCTGATTGGCTTCTTGCTTCTAAGCGTCTGTTTATAAATGGTGGAAAACGATGCTGAATATCAGCTTCTCCTCTGCACTTCTTTTCTTGCCCAGATCTTGGACCCTCATACCCTAATTGCCTTGGCAGCTGTCCAATGCCTTTAAAATCAATTTTAATAGGTATTTATCAAATGTTTCTAGCTGTCAGCAAGATAGTCACTTTGTCATGAACCAGACTGCCCTAGCTGGAAATATAATCTTGGTTGTTTTGTTTTTGGTTTTTGTTTGTTTTTAATAGCAGAAAAAAAAAAACTAGGAGTTACTTATGGTTTCACTGTCCCTGGTTAAGCCCACCTCCACTCAGCCCCAGACAGTACAATGCACACCAAGAAGTGCCCATACCTCTCCGTACTTCTTAATTGGTGTCAAATGAGCAGCTCTAGAATTTTCTGTGTGTCTTTTTAGTTAAAGAAATTAGAGGAAGGATGGTAGGTAAGAATCAATAAAAATCTTTCTATTACCTGTCCACGCCGAAACTTGACTTTGTTATTTTGGGATTGATGAAGCCTTCGGTTACCTGAATCTCCTCTGGTGCCAATGAGGTTGATAAGCACATTAGACTCTGTCTCTGCACCTGGCTTCCTGCCCGTGTACATGTAGATCTCATAAACCACCACTGAAATGTCAGAAATCCGATATTATCTTTCTCATTTTTATTTTCTCTCTAAATGTATTAGATACCCTGAAAAACAATCAGAATGTTGCCTAATCTAGCTGACATGAGTTTCTTCGTGGTGGTTGGTCCCAGCTCTTTTCCTCACACAGACCCATTCAAACAGACTCTCGACTGCCCCATGTTTACCTCATTCGTAAGACTCAGCTATTTCCCAAACTACAGTTTCAAAATAATTATTGCTAGTAATTATCCACTTTCATTAACCACTATACTTTCACCATTATGAAAAGTTGTATTTAAAAAATAAAAACTCTCCTCTCTCTTAATTAGATGAAAGTGGCAACTTTCCCCCCAAAGTTTGGCTGTTCTAATCACAGCTGGTCACTCACGCTGCTATTCACAAAGATCACTACTCCAATAATGGATATTTTTAATGGCACTCTTGAGAGAGAAAAAAATACAAAGATCTTAGAGAGATACAAATTTGAGAGATACAAATTTAAATTTTTAAAAAAGATAGCAGGGAGGTACCAACGAATTATAATTCACCATATTTGACCTTAGAATTAACGTAATTTCTGAGACACTGGTAGAAGTCGCTAATTAGAAAAAAGATTGTTCTTGCTGATACAACTAATATGAATAATATCTTGGACACAATGAGTACTTTTAATTCCAGATTCTAGAACGCTTTATAACTCTGTGCAATTGAACAGTTGCATTTATAGAAATTCGCATTAACATTTTCCAAAGAACTCAGACATGAAAATCCAACAAGTAAGAAAACAAGGTAAGTGAGAAACATTGCCTGTTTCCATCATGCCTGACCTTTAAAAAGACAAATGTGGTATACTGGGAAATGGTGTAAGCAGAGAAGATAAATCAGTTTCTTTGAGCAGTCTTACATATTCTAAAATACCCCAGAGTGAAACCCAGCTGAGCTTAAGCAGAAAATTAGAACACTTCTCATGAATTTAGGACAACCAAAGAAATCTTTTAAACTCCCTATAAAGAAGATCTGGTCTTACAACCTGGGTAACTGCCTGAACTGAATTAAGCCAAAATTTATGCTAGAATTCTTCATGAAAACAAGTATGTAGACAGGCATGATCGGAAGCCTTAATAGGGAAGCCTTGCTTCTGTTTACTGAGAATTTTTTTGTTGTTTCAGAGGAAGAGTGAACTTGTTTACAAATTTTTTAAAAATGACATTTAAAATATTAAAACACTTCTAAAATTAAAAAAAAATTGTTAAAGGTCTAAAAAAGGACATATCAAAAATTATTTAGGACAAAGATCATATACTTAGGGCACAAAGAACAACACTCAGTGCTCCCTCAAGCAGTATAGACTGTACACATTGTACAACCTATGTACCCATTGTCCCATGATCAAATCATGCAGCTTGCTTGCTATCTACACACAACTTAAATATTCGTAACATTGTATTATTCCCAGAAGCTACTATAAGTTAAGTTTAGTGCACAAGCACCAAAAAAAAAAAAAAAACACTTGCCACCTAAAATTCAAAGAGAATTAAATGTACCCCATATTTAGAACAAGGTGGATACCATAGTTGAGCACTAACTTTTATTCTTTGAGATTCTCTCTATCTCAAAAAGAGTTACATAGTTTGAATTGGAAATTGAAAGAAAACATATAATCCTACTCAGAGAAACAGACATTTGCTGCAATCTTTAACATTGACTCAACTTTAATTGTACAGTATTACATAATCCACTAAGCATTTGCTGTAGTTTTGCAACAAAAGCACAATAGATTCTAAGTCCAAACCTTTTCATGATCCTTAAGGCAATACAAAATTCTTCCTTTAAAGTAAAGAAAGGGAGAATTTAAGGAATACCTAGTTAACATGTTGATTAGATGCACCCTAAAATACTATGTGTTTTAAACAAGTCTTAGCAAGTGAAGATCTCGGAGAATTCTTTGTTCAGTCTCTCTCCTTGGGTGTGAAAGTCAGGTCTCAATGTTGTTGATTCAAAGGCAGGGCCATACTGTTCTAGCTAAAGGACCTGCATTGTTGTAAAAAAATGTAGAAGGCTAACAAATTATCTCTATTCCAAGAGAGGGACCCGTCACACAGGGAGGGGAAATCCTGAGAGAGGGCAACAGTAAGTAAAAAATGTGAGTTAGAAGAAAATTTATAATTACTTCAAAATACTTGAAAAATTCAAGGCTGGGTTTCTAGACATGGATGTTATACAGAATGGAAGAGATCATTTTACTTGAACATATTCGAAGACAAGTATTACTAATCAATGATTCAGCTGCAAATAACTTTTTTAAAGCACCAGATTTTAAGAAGTTAATATACATCTCTCACCATGATTTAGCTAAAAGTATTGAAAGAGTTAACTTGTTGCTTTAGGTTATCTGTAAATATTGGGCATTTTTTGCCCCCAATTTTCTAATGTTCTTTTTACCATAGTTGATGCTAAATTTTTCTTTCGTACAATGAGTCAGGAGCCTCAGCTGCTGTGAGCCTTACTCACTCAGACAAAATGGGCCATAAGCACCTAATAATAACATTGCTTGTCCTCCTGTTTGCCATAACTATCATCCAATTCAGTTCATAGCTAAACTATATATTTTCACCATTGGGGGGGGAGGGCATTTGTTTCACTTGTGTTCTCAATGTCATCACCTTCAACTCTCTCACCCTTATATTTACCTATACTTACAGTCATTTCAAAACTTTTCCCATCTTTCAAGGAATGCATAGCACATGGATTACTGCCAAAGCTTAGCATTCTTTGGGCTGACAAACTTGTGGCCTACATAATAAGATTTAACATCACCACATTAGTGACACAAAAATCTCTCAAATTTTAACCTGCAGGTTGGGTTTTGTTTTTTTTTTCCCTCAGATATCATTTTAGGCCAGAATCTGTGCCAAGCGTTTGTTAACGTTGATTTATCTGCATCAACTCCAAGCATTAACATCCCCATAAATAGTATCCTTAAGATTTCCTTTCAAGAAATCTTGAATTCTTTAGTCTCTGCTTACTACAGAAAGCATAGAGTTAAATATATATATATTTGTTCTTCATAGGGAGATATATAATTTCTTAACCACAAGAATATCTTAAAAATATCATATGGCTGGGAAGGGGACTGAAAAAAATTCCTCAAATGTGATTTTTCACTGGAAGTTTAGGAGAGGGAAAACAAAGCCATGGTAGGACATGTGTTTCCTTTAGTAGAAGAGGGAGGAGGTGATACCTAAAGAGGAAGTGGAATGAGATGCCTCAGGGATAGCCACACCAAGGGTCCTCTTCACATATGAGGGTGACATCCAGGAACTGAGGATGACATGGAGTAGGGATGGGAAGAATGAGAATTTTGAATTGACCCATTTTTGACCAAAAGAAACTAAGCTTTATATTGGAAGTGACAAAGCTTATTTGGAGTTACAATGATTAAGATTTCCATCATCCATGGAAATAGGGGCTTGGATTATTTTTATGTCAGGTTTGTAGAAATATGATTTTCATGTGGCAAAAATCACTCTTTTAAGGTATACGGTTTGCTGAGTGCTGGGAAATGTTTACAAGTCCTGTAACTACCACCACCATCAAGATAGAGAATATTTCTATCACCACAAAAAGTTTACCTAGGAGGGGTGTGATTTTAATCAGCTATGAAGCATTTTTGCACCCCTCAAAGTCATGATTGTGAAGATTCAAATCCATGACATGATGATAAAAACAATGCAGAGGGAGTAACCTGGAGGATATCCAGAAGGATTGTCTCACACCTATACCTGCCTGATTTTTGAATGAACAGGTAAAGGAACTGAATCCAATTAACTGTTTATAAAATATATTATATTTAGTATGGTCCTCTAATTTTAATCTGAATTGCATTTGAAGGATCACCTCTTAATATTTTATCATGCCAAGAAGTTTTTCATTCCCGTGGTAGCCCATTTCTTGATTACCCAAGGTACCATATACTCAAGGTGTATGCTGATGAGGCAGGCTTTTCACAAAGTTACTGGAATGGAATGTTTTAAATATTTAGACACCAGAAGTTTATTTGCAGAGTCCATAGGGTCATGGAGGGCCAGTGTATGGTTCAGGAGGAAAGGACCACCACTAACCTGATCTAAGATGTCAAGATTGAACTGAAGAAGTACAGATGACCAAATAAAGTCAGCCCCAGAAGTAAATATGGAAAGAAACAGGCTGCTGCCTTATTCCACAGTCTGCCATTCATTAGTATTAGGATGTCATAATAAAATAGTTGAGCCAGGACATTTTCCTCCTACATTAAAACAGCTACTGCCAGAGAAATAGCCTAAAGGGAAACAATCCTCTCAATTTAGGATGATTTTGAATAAATCGTGAAAGAATATTTGGTGATTCTGTTATGAAAGTCACCTGAGATCATCGATGCTCTATGAAGCAGTTGGCTGTGTTCACAGATTTGTCTGTAGTCCAAGCCATGGTCTGCCCTCGCGCTGAACACCCCCCCACCACCACCAAGGAGTGCACGTCCCTGGGTACTGGGTGTCTTGGTCTCCCTTCCTAAATCTCACATGCTGTAAGTGCAGGGCTTACATCTTTTTCAGTTCTGAACCCCCAGCTCCTAGTACATGTACACATACACACATAATGTTTACTGAAGAGGACTGAATAAATGAATGCTTATTAATCCACCCATCTATCAAAAAAATGCTGTGTACTGATCTCTGTTGTTTGCCCTAAAAACCGCTCAAGTATGAATCATCATCTAGAATGTGCTATGGCTCCTCTGTACCCAGAACTGTACCTTAAACCAAGGCTACCTTCCCAGGCCCTTTTGCTCCCAATTTGCTCTCATTCCCCAGTTTCTTTCAGGGTCCACTTGTTTCTGGCCCTTTGGCTTTGTCTCCAAGGTCTGTATGTGTAGGAAGGGACGAGTGAATTTGGCCTCTCAGACTCTGACCGTGAAGGGTCCGGAGAGTACCAGCAGTCCCAAAAAGTGACTGCAGAAGGG